TGAAACATTTAATATTTAAATTTATTTAAAATTAAGAATTAATTTAGATATTAATTAATTTCAAATTATTTTAAATACCTTTAATTAATGTTTAAACTTCAAAAATTCAAAACCAATTCATTTTAAATCATTAAAATTAATATAATATCTTAATATGACATCAAATTTGAGATTAATTTAATTTCAAGTTAAAATATATTTAATTAATTTAATTAATTAAAAATTCTAAAAATTTCTCAAACACTTGGAAATCCCTCCTTAGGTCATTACTGACCTTTGCAGTTGATTTCAAGGAGTTAGGAGTTCTTTTAGACTCAAATCATAAAAAGTCCCTTAATTAAATAATTTTGAAATTTCAATAAATGCATCAAATTTTAAAAAATCATAACTAATTATAGAAAAATCCAAATTCAAAAAACTTAGTGTCTAACAACACATCTTAAGGTCTAAAATTTTAATAAAATACTAACTTTCTAAAATTCAAGCTTAATAAAAAAACTTAAATTTTGACCCCTTAATTAAATGATTAAAATAATCCAGAAAATTCCAAAAATTCAAAAATCACTTTAAAACCAAGAAATCTCTAATTAACATTAAAACCAGCAATCAACCAACCTTAATTAAAATTTATTAACCTTCAAACTTTAATTAAGTCAAATCACTTAATTATTTTGGGTACCACAAGGTAACCCAAGCTTACGAGGCTATTAAATTTGCTCCAAAAAAGGTGAAATAAACTTCACGGCCTCGGTAAGCAACAAAGATGATATTCACTTAACACTTTAAAATGTATTTTAAAATTAATCATAAGTCATTAAGATTTAAAGTTCAATTAAATTTCCTTTAAGCCTTTCAACCAACTAGAACATTGAGCAACTTTAATCAAGTATCATACATAGGACATATCCAAACCACACAGCTTTTTACACACACTTTAGATGATTTGCTGGGACAACCAATTCTAGTTTTAGGCTAGGTCGATGTTTACTTTTCTGCAGTTGTGTGCCGTGTTTTCTGTGGTTTTTGCTACGTACATGCTGGTTGCTAGCTTAGAATTGAGTAATTATTTATTTATTTACTGCACTCTGTGTTGTGAGTGATTGAGCATTCTAAATTTCAAATATTAACTACTTGAGATTGATTATAACTGCTTGAGATTTATTATAATTGCTTGGGATTATTTATTTAAATGTGATTATTAGGATAAACCCTATAGGTTATTGAGTCTAAATATTCAATGTAATTTAATATATTATGGTTGTAAATATTTAAAGTGATTTGAGATGGGATATTTATATCTAACTTGAATTCCAAAGAGGAAAAGACATTCCTAAATGGGAGAGTCTTCTTCAATTTGGAATATCAAGTTAGGATATCTTTCAAATATTCAAAGAGAAAAGATAACACCTCGTTCAAGGGGAAGTTTCTTTTTATTTGGATATCCAAAACCGATGAATCATGAAGCTCGTGAGAAGACAAAGAAGTGGAAAATGAGAAGAATCCCATTCTCAAAGTCACTTGAGTCTTAAGATGGAATCCGGATTGTTGTCAGTGGTGCCCGGTCACTTTACTTTTCTGCAGATCTTAGTTTATAATTTTAAGTGGCACTTGCCGCATGGACTTTAAATTTTATTATTAATTTAATTGATTTGATTAATTGATTGAAGTGTAGATTGTAATTAGAATTGCCTAATTTTAGTAGTTTTTTGACATCTTTTACATGTCGATTTTGATTTAGCCTTGAATCCAATCGTAGGCTCATAAGAAGTCGTTAAAAATTTTTTTTACCTTAATTAAATTTAAAAACATTTAAGCTCACATAGAAATTCTAACATTTTAAGAAGTAAGTACGAGACCGTCAGGAGTTCTCATTTCATAATTGCTTTATTTTCTTTATACTTGTTAGGCACCTCCTCGCCTGTGAGTTTTGGCAGACCACATAGTCTATGAAGGTGCAGCTTATTCCAAGGGGAATCTGTGCATTCTTTTAGGATAAAAATATATTTTCTAAGTTGATTTCAAAACTTCTTCATTTTAAATTTAAGCATTTAATTGAGTCGATATACATGCATCATAGTAGTAACAAATTAAATATCTAAAACTTTAATTACATTTGTAGCTTAAGCATTAAACACCCAACATAAGTCAATGGATTAAATTAAGTTCTGCTCTAGATGTCGGCCATATTCTAAAAAACCTATCTTAAATAACATCCATACTACTCAACATTAAAAGACTGGACTCATGGTTTTGAAGCGCCTAGCTGATTTAGTTGGCTCCCCAATCCAGGCCAGGATAAATCTAGATTTGCATTACATTAGCTAGATTCATGTCACTGATTTTCAATACCCACTTTAGACTTATGTTCTGAGGTATACTCGTGCTATAAGTCCTCAACCTTCGAGAATTGAATCCCAATTTTATTATACCCAAATTTAAATTTTTTTTAATTAAATTTAAGCCCAACACTTAGGATAGGTTGAGATGTTTCTGAAGTAAATTAGAATCTCAAAATACATTCTACCCTTCTTCCTTTGACTCCTAAAATAAGTGCTCAATTTTGATCCAGTCCCGATTGAAAATTCCAACCAATACTTTCCTTTAACATCAAGCGTTGAAAATCTTAAATAAAATTTATACCGCTATTTTAATCGAGAGTATTTGTATGAGACTTATATTTTCTACGATGTAATTAACTACGAGGGCTTGCGCTCGTAGGAGATTTAGAAATCCATACCATATTTTTAAAATCAATTTTTTCAAAACCTTTAATTAATTATCTTTGGGAAAATTCAACATTCAATGTCATTATCGTCATTTTCAAATGATCAACAGTGATTGATAACTTTTTTCCTCGAAGAGATATATCAATTACTATCATAACGTTGATTACAAAATTAATGTAGTCAAACACTCAATTAAATTCCATTTTGACCCTCCATGATCATTTGTGATTCAATTCTGTGTTTGATTATGATAATCAGGATGAATTCAAAGTTTTATAATTTGAATCTATTATGGAATGATACTATTGCCTCCCAAGGCGATATATTATTCATAATAAAGAGTTCAATTTCAAAACTAAAATCTCATAATTTAATATTTCCCAAAGACAATTAATATTTATCAAAATCACATTTTTAAATCAAACACCTCTGTCGCCTACTATGATCCTTCCAACCTCCATCACTAGAAAATAGTCTTTCAGACCCCAGTCTCTTGTCGACTATGGTCCTTTCGACCTCCGTCGCCTACTATGGTCCTTCCGACCTCCATCATCAGACAACGATCGTTCAGACATCATTCTCCTACTGACTACGATCCTTCCGACCTCCGTCGCCTACTATGGTCCTTCCGACCTCCGTCACCAGACAACGGTCTTTCTGACCTCAGTCTCCAACCGACTATGATCCTTCCAACCTCTTTCGCCTATTATGGTCCTTCCGACCTCCGTCACTATACAACGGTCTTTCAGACCCCAGTCTCCTGCCGACTATGGTCCTTCCAACCTTCGTCGCCTACTATGATCTTTCCGACCTCCATCACTAGATAATGATCTTTCTAACCCCGATCTCCTGCCTACTACGACCTTTTTGATCTCTATCTTATCAACTATGGTCATGCCGACCAAATAAATATATCTATGTTGATTATTGTAACTCCCACCATGTAATGCGCTTTATATGGTGTACATTTGTGACATCAGGCCAAGGCCTTCTCCCAAGGAAGGGCCTCATTTGTAATCGACTATAAATACTAGTGTATTTATTCAAACTGGGCCAGCCCCGTGGTTTTTCTCCCTTTTCAGGGGTTTCCACATTAAAACTCCGGTGTCTCTTATGAACACTTCACCCTCTCTCTTATCTGTTTGTATGCTAGATATTCGTACAATGATAAGACGTTAAACTAGGTATTTCTCTACCGCTTCGAATGCTCCAATACGCAACAATTATATTTCAAACATATTTTTATTTAATGTATTCGCAAAATGAATGATATTAGTTAATTATTTTTAATATTATACTTTTATTAAGTTGACATATCTTTAATTTCCATATTTATAAGGCCATCAACCTACACCCATCTACATAGAAGCCATGCTTGCAATCCGTGTGCATTGTTTCCCCGTCGCTACTAATCCATTCAATTTATCATTCATTAGTTATAGATCGAATTAGCGACAATTTTTTTTTTTTTGGTAAAGAATTAGCAACAATTAAATGCACAAAAATACTAATCATTTATCTATTTAATTGTTTGATGGCTATCTCACACCTTATCATCTAACCTTACCAGCCCTATATCATCACCAACCAGAGAATTAAGACAAACGATACTGATCATCATCAGCATCATAGCGACTCATCATCTTCATCATCATCATCTTAAACTGGCATTTTGAATATATCAAATACAACACTTTGAAGGTCAAAGAACAACACGAAACAATATATCTATAAAATCTTTAGCCTGCACATGTCATATATGGATATGAATAACACAATTATACATTGAAAAGTAAGCGGTTGCGGTGACAGATGGCTACAGGGCGTGGTCGGGGACACAAATAAGAATCACTAATAATGTGGGAGGAAACAAAACTTATAGTAAATATTTCCTATATATGTTTATATATCTAATACCATCAATCTCAAATTTATGACAATTTTATTATTTATGATAATTTTGATACAATAAATAAAATAACTTAATTTACATGAAAAGTTTGTTGATGCATGCAGGCACCTCTTGTGTTCCCACGTACCTCACACAGTCATCACCAAAAATTAGCACAAAACACCACATGCATCCACCATCATTAATAAGTAGCAATCTTAATAATTAATTTGCATGAAATTCCAACAATGGCATGCATGCATCCATTCAATTAATCTATATATATATATATAATAAGTTAAGCTAAATATCCAAATAATAAAAAAAAAAAACCTCGTTTACTCATCAAATATTCGCGGACCCGACAGAGAAGCATATGATAATTAATGCATGGATGAGGCATGCACCAACCTCCTGCTTCGGTTTATAGTAAGCAAACAAAGGTAGACGTGCTCCTCCAACTCCTCGATCTGCTCTTCAAACCCAACTTCTCCCATTTCCAATTCCCTCACAACCTCCCTCGCCATCTCCCCTTCATCCCCACTCTTCAACATCAACCTCACCACGTCCCGCCTGTGCTCCATCTCATCGTGCACCCGCCTCACCATCCTACTCACTGTATCCATATCTCTCCCAACAATATAAGCCCCTCTCGCCGCCGCATCCACCTTCCTTCCCGCTTTCTCCATCCACTTCACGCTCACCCACCGCCTCCACCTTCTCCGGCAACCGGCAGACAAAGCCGGTACCGCCGCCACCGCCACCAACGCTGCCGCCGCGTGCGTCAATATTACTGCAGCCACCACCGCCGCCGTTCCCACTGCGGCAATGATGACAATTCCGGCCGCTTTTTTTGCTGCGCGCAAAGCCCGAGCGGCGCGGCGAATTCGCCGCCGCTCTTCGGTGAGGCGGGCTAGGAGCGGAGGGTAGAGCGAGTGGGTCCGGTGAAATGGGGAAAGATTCTGTGATGATAACGGGTTGCCGAGATCGATGTAGGCGGAGAGATCGGCAGCTGCAGAGCCGCCGCCTGCATGGCGGTGGAGGTGGTGCCGAACGGAGCGGTCGATGGAGCGAGTGCGGTTAATGGCGGTGAGGAGAACGGCGCAGGCGGAGGAGGATTGGAGGGTAGCGTCGAGGTAATCGAGGAGAGCTGCGCCGCCGCCGGAAACCGTAGCGGCAGCGAGGAGTGAGGACTGGGTGGGCTCGAGGAGGAAGTTGGGGAGTGGGCAGCTGTTGGTGTTGGGCTGGAAGTTAGTTGGGGATGGGGTGGGCTTCGGCTGTTCGTGGGCTTCGGCCCAGATGTTGAGGAACGACTTTGTGTGGAAGGCTTCGGTGTACTCTGCGTCCACGTCAAGACTGCGCCTAACCATCGGTATTTCGTTTTCTGCAGCACGAGAAATAGCTGGTTATTAATTCATATCTATTTATAAGTGTACATTTATTTAACCTGTTATACTTCTTGTACACATGTATAAGTTGGGCTATATGTTTAGATCTATATACAGCTCTCATGTACACGTGTACAAGAAATTTAACAGGTTCCATAAATGTACATGTACAGGTTATATATATATATATATTATTATGCCCCCTACAGTCCAACCTAAGCATATAGCCCAACCTATACACGTGTACAAGAAGTACATATAACAGGTTAAAGAAATGTACAGGTAGGAGTTATGTGTATTTGTTATTAGAAACCCTAATATTTTATTTTTAGGCAAAACCCTTTCCTTCACGATCGAGTTTTGATTTCTGCAGTTTTCTATAATTATATAGATCATTTGCATTAATACGCCATAAAAGGAGACTTGCTTGTGGGAGAAGTTCTGATGTATAACCAAAGCACGAAACTAGGGTAGCAGAAAGCTTAAAATGGAAGATTCTACAATATCAGCTATGATAATTAATTATAATAATGTAAAAAAATGTATCCAAGTAGATATTGGAAGCCTGAATTAGTAGCTAGGAACAAAGCTTAATTCACTCATATTATTGGTATGAAAGGAATAATACTAAGAAGGTGGATCGGATCTAGTAGTACTTCCATTAGTTACAATATTTTTAGATGAAAACGGATTGCTAGCTAGCTAGCTTGTTATATTATATATATATGAATTGAATGGCTTTATCATAATTCGCTATAGATCGAGTTGCAGTTTATATACAAAATGCTGGACATTTAATTTCTTACCAAGTTGAAGACAAATTTAAACTTCTTTATTTTTTTTATAAGACTAAAACAAAATTGAAAATTTTTTTCAAAGAATTTCTTTCTTTTTTATTCAATATGCAATTAAACAAGTTTTTTTTAATTATTCATGAGATGAATGATAGTTTGCGTACCTGAAGCGAACAAGTTTGACAAGTAGGAATTGAAGGAAGACGATGAGCTGAGCTTAGGCAACATCAGAAGCTGGATGGAGATTTCAGAGATAACAATTTATATCAGGGCTTCAACTGTATTTCTATAAATAAAAAAGAGGAAGAATTAAGAAAGAGAACATACAGTACTGATGGGAAGGTTTAGGTGTAATGGTTGCAGGCTTCAAATTTATAGGAGATGAGACAGCACGATGGGATGGTTGAAAAGGCTTTCTATTCACCGGCATATATATTAGCCTTCTTAAGAACAATTTCAATAATTATAAAATTTATTCTTATGAAATTTGAGATAGAATATTCTCATCTCTAATTAATTACGTACTCTTTTTATAATTAACATCCCCCTCCCTCGTTTCTCTCTCTTCATGTGAAGAAGAAACATGATTGGTATTGAGAGGTAAACCTGTGCCACAAGCAGACGTTACTCGGCTCTTTCTTTTCTGGATCACTTTGGTGTAATATATTTTTGGAGAGAGAGAGAGAGAGAGAGAGAGAGAGAATTTGATTTGAAGTTCACGTGTAAGAGCTAATAATTAGCAAGTTGTTCATTAAGCACTTAAGCGTGATTAAACAATAATCGAGTCGTCACGTCTCGAGAAAAATGTGATACATGCGAATGATATTAATCAGTGACGGGCATGCATTTTTCATTTTTCTCCTCCCTTCTGCTTGCTTGCTTCTAGAAACGAAATAATAATAATAATAATAATATATGATTAATTTTATTTATGAATAATCAGTATTAGAAATGCATGCATTGCTTCAATGATTTTTTTTAATAGAGTAATTATTGTTGCGGCTGGGATAGAATATACGCGGCAATAGAATTATAATATTTTGTCTCAATGTTGTACGGATATCCAACACGTACATAAAACAAAAAGAAATAAAACATAAAGATTTTTATGTGGAATGCTCTGGAAAGGGAAAAACCACGGGGTCACGCCCAATTAAAAGAATTTCACAAGCGTTTGCTTGAGTTACAAGAGGTTAACTCGTCATTAAAATTTAGGACGATCAGATTACAATAATCAACTCTCGGGTTGAAATTCAGTTGCAAACGGATAACAGAATATTGGTGTCATAAATTAAAACTAGTGTCCATTGTTTGTCAGACAGAGTTTTAATTAACGTTACTTCGAAGTCGGCATCACTTGGAGGTCGGGCGGAACTCCTGCGTCACTTGAAAGTCGGACAAAACTCCAACGTCACTTGAAAGTCGGGAGGAACTTCACCGTCACTTGGTGGTCGGACGGAGAGGAACTCCAGCGTCACTTGGAGGTCGGACAGAATTCCGGTACCACTTGAAAGTCAGGAGGAACTCCGACGGTGGTCGAGGAGGAGCTTCTTCATTTTCTTCCCTCCTCTTCTTCTCTTCTTCCTTCTTGGGTCCCCTCTTAAGAGAAATGAGGGACTTTTGAAGGCTCTAATGATATCAAATTTTGACGATCTTGGGCTCGTTGGATTCGTCTCGTCGAGCCACTCGATTCGACTATAATCATGTCATATTTGAAAACTGTTTAGTAATTCAAGTTATGGATTGAACCTTCCAAATGTGCTTTGGGTCTTTAATTTGAACTATTTTGGGTTCGGATTGAGTTAAATTTAGTGTCGTTGGGTTCGTATTTCCGAGACGCTCAGTTCGACTATAATTTCGCTGAAATCAGAGTTCGGATGGTCCCGGATTTAATTTTTAAAACTTCCAGCCTGATTTTGCCTTGAGATTCGAGCCTGATCAAGATAATTTTTTATATATCGTTTTGTTTTTAAGGTTCTCAATCAATAGATTAGTTTGAATCGGCATGTCTTAATGATAATTAATAAAGATCCGAGGAAATCGATAAGTGCAATTATATGAGAATACAAATATAGATATCTTATACTTATAAAATAAATAGTTAAAGTTAGAATGCATTTAATTAATAGAAATAAAAAATAACACTGTTGATGATTTTTTAAATATTTTTAGAATTGATTTTGCCTCGTGTGATGCGTCCGCGTCTCTGTTGGGTAATGTGGTTGCCTTTTAGCTTGTAATTATAAGTAACAATGTGAATGTATTAATTTGGCTATACGTTGAACGACAAAAGTCAAAAGTTTATCCAAAGCCGAAGGTGGAGACGGACAGAAATTTGAAAATGAATTCCTTTAGAAATATATAAATACTCATTACAACTAAAAGAATTCATTTCATTTTGTTAGAGATCAAAATTGCAACTCTTTGAGATTCAGTTTGTCATTCGGCACTTTCGTGAGAGCAATTATTACATCTTGTGTTCGAATGCTTTCGTGACCAATAACCAATCACCACGTCATCTAAAACTCGGTATTGCTCGGTATACATTCGGATCGTTCGGTTTTTGACCGGATGTAATAATTTCTCCTTTCGTGGGAGGTTGCCATTTATTTTGTCCCATAAAATGATAAAATTAAGAACCATCAAGTTACCATTAATTTTTATTTTAAATATAGAAAGATTTGGGAGTGCAAGTGTTATAAATGTCTCTTTCTAGCTAGCTAGCTAGTTGCCTTCAGGCATAAATTTTGTTAAATATTTAAGCAGGAATCGTATGAAAAAAATATTTAAAACGATCAAATAGCACTATCAATGATTAAATGTCTTCTCAGTTATCTTTAATGCTTCATGTATGTTTGTGTTTGATATATCATTAAAAAATTAACTAACATAAAAAAATTATCTTGATCGGGCACGAATCTTGAACACTACAGAAAAATCATTTATTACCAGTAGATTTTCCGACAGCTTTCTGGCAATATTCCGACTGTCTAATTTTTCAGAAAAATTTCAACGGGTTTCCGTCAGTTTTCTGTCTATTTTGTTTCCGACTTAGTTTCCAGCTATTTTTAATAATTTAAGAAAAATCATATATTAATTATTTAATAATTTATAATTTATTTTAATAATTATTAATTTAATAACTTAGTCTAGTTATTTGTTAATTTCATAACTTATTTAACTATTTATTAACTTTAATATTTTATTTTAATTAATTTTTAATTATAATTTTCATATAATTATAATTTAAATAAATAATAATCATCATTTTAACACAATTGTCGTTTCAGCAAAATGGTTGGGACTTTAGAATAAATTTTGGACTTAGCATGGCCACCGATTGTCGTCGGACTTCTCCTCGACCACTGCTGGACTTCAGCATGGCCACCGATTGTCGTTGGACTTCCACCAAGCAACCAATCAACGCCGAACTTCTGCCCGACAACTGACGAACGTCGTACTTCGATCCAGCCAATGAGTGACGCCGGACTTCTGCCAGTCGATGGACTTTCATTGGACTTCTATCGAATGCCAAACTTCTACCTATCGCTTGGCTTATGTACGTCGAACTTCGACCCAACTTCGGACCTCCGCCTGTCACCTGAGTTATGCTAGTTGCCATACATTAGTTAAACTTCTACCTGACGCCGAACTTCTTTCTATCGTCAGATTTATTCCCGACGCCTAACTTCCATCCATTGTCGGACTTCTGCCCGTTGCCAGACTTTCGTCGGACTTCCATCTAACGCCATACTTCCATCCATCGTTGAACTTTTGCATGACGCTGGACTTCCACTGATTGTCGGGCTTCCGACCTCCATCACCTACCGGCTACAGTTCATCTGACCTCCTTCACTAGACAACAATCTTTCTCACTATTGTCGCCCACCAACTACGATCCTCCCGACATCCTTAGCCATATTACGATCCTTCCTACTTTTGTTGTCAAACAACAGTCTTTTCTTATCACTATCCCCAGCTGACTACGACCCCTAAAACCATCGTCACCAGATTACTATATTTTCGACCTCCTTCACCCGCCAACTATGGTTCTACTGACCAAACAAACATATCAATTATAATTATTTCATCAAGTCCCATCATGTAATGCATTTTATATGATGTATATTTATTATATCAAGCCGAAGCTTTCCCCAAGGAAGATTCTCATTTGTGATCGACTGCAAA